CTTAATTTTGAATTCTGAGGAATCTTAATTTTTTACATAGATGTGAAATTTGGGGTTGTTATTTTTTAACTATCTAGATGTTCTCACATCCTTTACTGTTTGTTGAGACAACAATACTGTCTTAGTCTGTTGAGAGAACTTCTCCATGGAATGTCCTTAGCATCTAGTAGCAAATCGATTGCCCATATATGTGTTCATCTGTTTCTGGATTCTTTTTCCTCTTCTCTTCATTGGTATATATATGTTCGTATGCTATTGTAACTCAATCTTTGTTATTACAGTGTTTTAGTAAGACTTGAAATCAAGTAGTGAGAGAAATTTAACTTTTCTCTGCTTTTGAAATATTTTGTTGGCTGGTCCAAAGCCATTTTAGAATTTCTTTCTATACCTCCTTCCCCTAGCATTTTTCCCCCTTGGATTTTAGTTGAGTTTGTATTGAAATATAGATCAATTTGTTGTGAATTGACATCTTACGAATATTGCAAAATCTGTCCCATCAATATTTTTTTGTCTTTCATATAGATACTGTACACATTTTTATAATTCTTTGACCAGGTGGATTGGCGTGGTGACTGCTGCAGTGGGCTCTTGTGTGTCAGGAAGTGTGAAGATGATGCAGGATAGAACAGGGTTCAGATCTTTTGCTCATAGGGTCACTATGAGTCATACTTGACTCGATGGCACCTAACAACTACAAGAAGTATAGATTATATTTTTTGGTGATGATTTTAATGATACTGGTTTTTTAATTTTTAATTCCTTTTCTAGTATATAGAAATATAATTGAATTTCATATATTAATATATACTATGAACTTGTTAAACTGCCTTCTTTTTTTTTTAAACTGCCTTCTTTTTAATTGTAGTAAGTGTGTAAATATGCACACACACACAGGGTTATATATGCATATCTAAGTATTTGGTACTTTGACAATCTTCACATGTACAGGGCAGTGATATTATTTATATTCTTTATGTTGTTAAACCAAATTATACCATCACCCTTAACTGAAGCTCATTATTCCATATGTTAAGAGACCTTCCTTGAATTATTTCAGTGTTTATTGGGGGGAGGCAAAAATCTTTTGCCTTCATTTTTGAAAGATGCATTGTCTCAGTATAGAATTTGGATTTCTGTTTCTTTATTTGTTTGAAGATCCTTTTCCATTTTTTAATGACTCGCATGGATTTCTACATGAGAAGTATGCTATCTACTTTTCCACTGACAGAAATGGAAAATGTAAAGCTGTTGACTTTGTAACATACTCCCAGCTTATTTCTCAGAATTCTTTGTTTTCTTTTTACTTCTCTGTTATCTTTCATGGTATTGTTCCTTGTTCACCATATATGTATAATGGGAAAAAAAAAGAAATGCAATGAAAAGAATGTTTTAAAAAACAGTTAGACCTTGTTATTCATTAATTACATTAATCATTGATAATTGATATCACAAAAAATACTTAGGAATCATTGAGTGAAAACCCAATAATACTTGTAAACTTTAACTCAAGTAGTAAAAAGAAAATACAAATAAATTCTGATTGCTGTGCTTTTAACCATCAATCCCTCGTCTTCAGTGGTTCAGATCCACCAGCTCTGTGGGAGAAAGGGGAGCAGTCTCCCCCTGTTAAGATTTATGAGCAGCTCTGATGATGTATTCTATAATGTGTTGCACTACTAGCAAGAAATGAACCCTGGTAAATTCTTGCTAGAATGGCTTTTGTGTTTATATCTAGATTTAATTTATCCATTTGACCTTTGACATGTGTTAACATAAAATATTGATTACGATAGGAAGTATTTTTTCCCCCAGGAGTAATTCAGTATATCCCACTCTACAAAATGAGAGCATCACCAATGAAAATGAGATCAGATGATAAAAGGTATTGATCAATAGTAACTAATTAAATAAAACACAATATGGTATATTGTGGTATAAAATATATATAAAATATTATAAAACAATATACATGAATGAAACACAATGTATATGAGTGATTTTTTTTTAAATTACTGTTTTGATTATAATATTATGTCAAAGTATTTGTATTTCAGTCCAGGTGTTTATCAATAGATGAATGGATTTTTTTAAGGATATCTCTTTTTTTATTATTTCTTTTTTTTAATTTTATTTTTATTATTTTTGTGTGTGTATGTACCATCAAATTGGATCTGATTGGTACAGGAGGAGATTGTCCCTCCTTCTCCAGCAGAGCATCTGGTGGATTCGAACCTCTTACCTCTGAGATTGCAGTGCAGCTTCTTGCCACTAGGCCACCAGAGCTTGCCAGATGAATAGATTTTAAAAATATGTTTATGTAATGGATTATCTAGCCATTTAAAGGAATGAAATTCTAATACCCACTACAACATGGATGGACTTTGGGGGGAAAAAATAAGCTGTGTGAAATAAGCCAGGCACAAAAGGAAAAGATAGTGTGTAATTCTACTTAATAATTATATTTAGGCAAACTTATAGAGGTTAAAAATAGATCATAAATTCATGTTTCTAGAAACTTTTATGGTCACCCGACCAGATGAAACATTCTTCCAGGAGATGTAGTGAGCCCTTCCCAGAACCCTCCTGATGTTGGCCACTTGAAGATGAATTTAGTGGACAGGCTGAAGAAACTGGCAATAGCCAGAGTGATCAAGACCCCTGGTGGCCAGGAAAATGGAGGATGCCAAGAAGCAGAACTTGGCCTTCAAAAACCAGGCTCTACCATTTATTAAAATTCAGGTAGCAGTTGGTTAGCTGGACTGACACAGAATCAAAGTCTTCCAGTCATGATAGGTAGATTTGGAACCCACATTTACACATCTTCGGCCCCAGATGGCTATCCTGAGGAGGAAAGAGGCTTAGCAGTTAAATGCCCTCTTCTTGTACAAAATAACATGGAAGGGTGGATATGTACTGACACATGTGGTCTGGCCAATTACTTGAGAGTAAAGGCACATTGTAGAAGGGTTGTGAATGTGGAAAAGGAAAAGTGGAGGGATGGAAACAATTGGAATGAAGCCATAGGATAGATCTAGTAAATTATAAATGGAAGGACTGAGTTTTTGGATTATTTAAACCAAAAATTTTAATACACACCTTTGATAAATAGACCCCTTCAGTTAGATTTTCTTGTCTTGACAATAACTTGACAAGAAAGTTAATATTAAAAACAAAAAAAGGAAATTACCAGGTGCTGGAGGAAGGGAGAAAGGGCATCCAGTCACTAAGGAGTTCTGAGTTTCTCTTTGAGGTCATGAAGTTTCTGAATAGATCGTGGTGATGATAACATTATTAATGTAATAAATAATGTCACTGAATTATACACGTAAAATAGCAAATTTTATCATGTCTGCATTTTACTACAGTTTTAAGAAAATCCAAACCACAAACAAAACAGCTAAAAGGGTTTAGAATGGATTTGTGTTACCAAACACAAATCAGATCATCTGGCAAAAAGTCAGTATATTACATGTTTTAAATTAAGGTCGAACTTTATTTTCAGTATGTGTAATTATCAAATTGGTAACCTTATCATAGTATTTTCCCTGTATGGATAGGGTAGAATCTTTATTGGTATTCTCAATGAGCAGAAATGTGTTACCAGGATTAGAGGAAGATTGATCAACAATCTACGTTATGCAGATGACACAACCCTTCCTGCTGAAACTGAGGAGGACCTGAAGTGCTTGCTGCAGAAGGTCAAGGACTGAAGCCTTCAATATGGATTGAGGCTCAATATCAAGAAGACAAAGAGTCTCAATTCTTGGCCAATTGGCAGCATCAAGAGATTGAGATTGTTAACAGCTTTAGTTTGCTTGACTCCAAAGTCAACACTCTTGGCACCAGCAACCAGCAAATTAAAAGATGTATTGCAATGAAAGTCTGCTGTTAAGAGACTTCTCCAAATTACAGAAGAGCAACCATGTCACTCTGGAGACTAAGATGTGCCAGATACAGGCCATGGTCTTTGCAATCACTTGGACAAGGACTAGGGATGATAGAAGAATTGATGCCTTTGAGCTGTAGTGTTAGAGAAGAGAATTGAATATACTGTGGGCTGCTAAGAGAACAATTTCTTCTTGAGGGGTTAAACCAGGCTGCTTCTTGTAGGCAAGGATTCTGAAGCTTCATCTGACATACTTACTGTAAGGAGGGACCAGTCCTTGGAGAGGGACATCATGCTTGGGAGGTCGGAGGGAGAGCGCAGGAGAGGAAGACCCTCCATGAGATGGACTGATTAAGTGACTGGGATAAGGGGCTAGGTGTGTCGGAGAGAGTGAGATTGACACAAGATAGAGCAGGGTTTATTAGGCTGTTGTACATAGGGTTGCAAAGAGTTGCAGGCAACTTGATGGCACACAACAACAACAACAGCAACAACCTCCACAACCTCAGGATTGATAAGAACACTCTTCCAGTTATGTTAGCACTGTGATGATAATTTTTGCTTACTGTTTGAATAAAAATTATTTATTTTTTCTCCATCATCACAGCTCAAAGACACCAGTTCTTCCTGTCATTATTTTTTTAAATAACAGTTTAATTTTATGTTGGTTACTTACAAAGTTCATATATATTTTTTTTCACACCAAATCTTTCCCGTTTCCTTTATGTACTCTTCCCTCCACCCATCAAATTCTCATCCCTCTGCTCCCACCCTCCTTCCTTTAGATCCTCATACAGGTTTTATAAAACTGTGTGATGTAAAGTATGCTCTTTGTAATACGCATATGAAGTAGGGGGCTTTCTAAGTGCATTGACATATAACCGTAAATGAGATTAAAAACAGAAGGGACTAATAAATTATTTTAAATTGTGGAGAAAAGATAGGTGACACTGTTTACATTACTCTTCTGCCCAGTGTCTTTGGAATTAGAGGTAGAATAAGCAGAATGACCACATGAGAGCCCTTTGCCCTTGCTTAACTGATGAATCAACTTTTAAAAAAAATTTTAATAAGCCTCTTTCTCTGGATTTAAACAAGTGATTTACTCTTTCAGACGGGGGAGAACAAAGGATGGAATAGTCCAAAGGCTGGCTTTCCTGAACCAACAAATAACAGTAAGTTTTCCCTTTATTCTCTCTACAATTAGTATTCATCAGTGATTCAGTTACTAGGCCATCACTGGGAATTTATTGACAGGTTTGAAACCAAGACATCATGTTAAAGTGTTGTGAAGACCAAGAGGAAGTTATGATGTCTTGTTTCCTGAACTTGCATATTAACTTGAAAATTAGGATACTTGTCTTCATTTCCACAGTCAAACCACTGCACATGTGGTCCTGGCTAATCCACATAGATTGCCATTCTTTTCAATTTTGTTATTTTTATTCCAGCAACATTAGAAAGAATTAAAAAAAAATTATCTGTGAGTCTATTACCTTCTCAAAGCAACCACTGTCGTATTTCTAAGTAAAGTCATGCTCTCCTGTTAATTTACTATTGCCATATATAATTTTTAAATTGTTTTTTAATGCAGCATAGTATTCCATTGTGCGAATATACCACAGCTTCTCTAGCCATTCGTTTGTTGATGGGCACTTAGGTTGTTTCCAACTCC